CAGTTGATCCATCCTTTCACGGAGAATGAAAGTAAGAATCAGCAACTAATAAAGACGGTGGGCGACATTTTGGTTGGATTTAGTGGATGTTTTCACCCAATACTCAAAAATGTAGCAAAAAGGTGTGCCGAAACTCCTATAAACCCAAGCCAGTAGGACATGAATCACAAAGACGAAAACATACCTCGCTTTAAGGATTTTCCAGACAGGATGTTTCCCTGAGTGCAACGGCACCCACCGACGATTACCTCCTCCTGACGCTTGATACGGATTACAGAGACTTCAAAGGTTTGCAGAACCACAGCTTCGCCTTACAAAAGGAAGCAGACCCTAAATTAGTTTTCGTTGTTATTGGTTTTCTTCGGCTTAGACCTATTGACATTAATTAAGAAAAAATTAACAAAAGGATGATAAAGCCCCGATGAACAAGGTTTGAGGAAAACACTCTTAAGCAATTTCAAAAATAATAAATGAAAACTAATGTTAACCTCGAACTCGGGTCATAAAGACATGGTTGGCAGAAGTGCACAACCACAATGAACGAAGTCCCAAAATTCAGCGAACTGCTGAAAGTCAAAATAGGGTAGCAAAAGTCCCAACATGTCACGTCCCAATTAGAACTAAGGGAGAACGCGCTAATAGCTACTAATTTGATTAAAAAAGAAAGAAGAAATAAATGACATGAAATCGAAAATACCGACAACTTCTTCGAGATAGACAGGAGGTAATTTGTGATTAACGAGGGAGCGCACATCTTCGGCAAGCCTGTAAATGATGTTGTGCGAGTGGAGTAGCATATTGTGCATATCGAGTGTCGACTTCGCATCTGGGAGTGCATCGACGTTAAATGTGAATAGTTCAGCTGAAGAGACGAAGAAAATGGGTAGATAGGAGCGATACCGAGTAATGAGAGAACAATGTAACCAAGCTCACCTCCTATGGCAGCCGCAAGATCCACTTCGGCCCGGGTGACGGGGCCGACTCCTGAGAGGACGATCCGCACGCGGCACTGATCGGATGGGCAGGTTTCTAGTATGTCCGAAATCGCCTCCAAACTTCCCTTAACATCGGCCTTGACGATCAAGGGAATACTCAGTTCCCCTGTTTCCGTTATCTTCCCCAAATTTGTTTGGTTCTTCTAAAATGTAAAAATTTTGCGCTTAATAGAAGCATTAGCAATAGATTTTACAGTCAGAAATAGAAAAAAATAACGCCAAAGAGAGCTGCATTAAGGAATTTAAACAATATCTGACAAAATTCTGTTGTATTGCATACTTTACCAAACAGAACAGTCAGGTCGTGCATTAGTAGAAGTACATTTACAAAATGTGAGTCCTGTTGAATTTGCAGATTCAAAGCACAAGAAGAAACCTGTTACCAGATTTGAATGGCAAAACACAAACCATGAAACGAAAGAGGTTACCATTGGCCACAATTAGAGACTTATTTGCAATCTTGATTTGAATGTTTGTATTTAAATTTGATCCCATCTAGAATTTAAGCCAAAATATGAAAGACAATCAGGTGCCTTAATGATATCCATAAGCTGAAATATGTCCCGTATGAGGGGAGCAATGTAGTTTCGCATGGGATGATGCCTTGGAAACAGAAAAGAATCGATAAGGCAACAGAGAAAGCAGCCTTGATAACAGGAAAGAAGAATGTGCCTTACTCTAAATTCAGAGGCGAATCGACGAGCAGAATGGGGATCCATTTCCCCGCCCTTCCTGAGGTAGGCCTCATAGGCGGCATGGTATTCGGCAGTCCGTTGGTTAATAGCCACTTGGTCAGCTTGTGACTTCCATTCCAGCCGCCTCTGGCGCCGCGTCCGAACCGCTGCCTCTGCTTCCGCCTGCACAACGATATCTCAAGGTTAGGAATCTACGCAGTATCATTTCCTAAGCCTTGTTGGTCACCCTTCATATCGTAGTTTAAAAGCAAAATCGACTCACTTGCAGACTTTTGCAGCACACTTGAATGCGGTTCCAAACAATAAGGCCAATAATGTTAATAGCATTCGACAATGTGTCGTACTGCTGTAAGTTTTCGTGCAATTATACCAGAAGAACAAACGCAAATTTACTAGGAAGATTCTACACTGAATAGCACAAAATAATGACCTTATTTGCCCGGACTTATGATAAAAGGATCAAGCGAAACGTGCTGGCTTATGGCAAACTTACCCCAAAGATGTGAGCTCTAAATGTTTGGGAAAGAGTACGTAAACATTTTTATGACAACGGAAATCAAGTCATGATCAAATGGTTTGATAGTGTTTAATGCAATATTCAGTTGATAATAACTCGAGTATGCAGACACACAGCCTTTGTATTGGCCAAACTGCAGCTTCGATACTGTTCATTCTATTAAGTATTTTCGCATTTAGATTATCGAGAGGCGCGGTTAGCACACAAAATATCCAAGCTTAAGCGAAATACTAACATTACAAGCCATAACCCACTAAAATCCCAATTGTTAATTCTAATTTGGCACACGTTTCCTCAAAAATCAGTCGTAAAATTAAGGTGTGTAATCCGAAAGACAGTTGAAAAGAGAACAAGAGGTCACACCCGAAACATTGTAACGAAAACTTTTTAACAAAAAGACATTCATCTTAATTCAGATCCTTTACAAGCACTCGAGGGTCAATATCTAAAATGGTAGCAAGAAATTCTGCTCACGCCACCACTGCCGAAGTCTCTAGGCTACCCTGATGATTTATAATAGAGCAAGTAATAGACTTTCAGCCCTATGCTACTGAACAAAAACTAGTAAAAAAGGTTAAACAATTGGACATTCATAGTCAAATTTGCCCAACAATTGTGCAAAATTATATAAATCCTACAGTAAATCAAGATTATGGCTACATTTAAGGACATGGTTTTAAAGTGAAGCAAAAAGGCAATACCTACTTCAGAGGCGACTTCGAGGATGGTGCTACCCACGGGAGGCATGGTCTTCCAGCCAGCTATAAAGGCAGTGTAGCCGGGTCGGACAGAGTTCACGCGAAAGCCGCGATCGTTTCGAAGGACGCGCACGCAACCAACGCTCTCACCAGCTATTAAAGGACCGCTCCTGGAACCTTGCTTCAATTCACCCTGCGTTACTAGGCAATTCACCACCTTTCTGTTTGAGAGAGAACAGTAAATTAACAATTAGCATTCAAATGCCAGATGCAAAAGAAACAGAGATAAAACGGGGATGGACCTTTTTGTTCCGTGTTGTACAGTGCAAAAAAAATTTTCAAAATCCATTTTAAGGTAAGCATTGGGGAGTAACGGACTTCTGAACTAAGCATGCTCCTTTTGACCCACTTCTCCCAGTTTTCCCGTTGAGATAAAAAATACGTCCTTTGAGAGAATTGCCAACACTTTAGTGACAACATTGTTATTTAGCAAGCCACTCTCAAAACACAAGTTGACTAATTTTAATAGATTTGAGTTGCATGGTACTCACTAGGCATGTATTATCTTTCACAGTCGAAATGATTGTCAGCTAGTGAGATGTGTCCTAAATTTAGATTCAAACTAGATTTAAATAGCTATCAGGAAAATAATAAGGAAGGAAGTTTTGTTTATTTAACCTACCCAAGACCATGCTCCATGCTGCACTCAAGAACAAGAGCCTCGGCAGGTCCGGTAGGATCTGCAACGACATGCATCACCTCTGCCTGTGCCACGATAGCCTCCAGCAAAGAGACGAGGTTGATGCGCCGCAGCGCGGATATCTCCACCGCCTGCACTTCACCACCCAACCGTTCTACCACTACGCCATGTGCCGCAAGGCCTTGTATCGTTCGTTCCTGCGGTCCGAACCGAATCAGTTCAACAAAGATAAATGATTAAGCGCTACTGCCTGAATAAATTGGGATGAAATTACCTCGAATTGTTTTCACATTTTCCATACAAACGAGGTTCTACCATCTCAAACCACCTTGAATAAACCTCCCTTGATGCCAACAGAGCCAACGTACAATGTATTCGCACACGCATAAAATCATAGGGTGTCTTATAACAGCAGTAGAAAACGTGGCTTCATAAAACGGGAAGCCTTCTCGTAGAATCTTAATGAAAGCCGCAAAATGCATTCAAATACCATTTTAGCACACGAAACACCTTTGCTTCTACCAGGGAGATCGCACTACAAATATTATTGTGAGATGGTTGTAATTATTTTTACAATGAAACTTAATCAAAAATGCCTAGACAAATGGAAAAAGTTAATTATCAAGCAAAAGGAAGCATAAAGATAACGGATTCAAGGAATGCAACATAAAAGACCATACATACCACATCGACCCCATATTTGTCTATTTTATTGATTGCGACGATGAGTTGAGCTGAAGCAAGGAACAGCTTGCTGCTAATCCACACTATTTCGTGATGTTCATAAAATGCCTGCATTTTCACAAAAACCTTAAACCTAACGAATCGATTGATCGAAAATACAGCTAGGTACAGAACCATAGTGCCAGTTTAACGGTCGCGAAATTAAAACTTTTTTATCCACATTAAATTAGTGCCTGTAGCTCGAGAGAAGAGCCAACAATGAGAAAACCAATCTTAACACAAGCCAGAACATCAGTGCCCATTAGACTCATTTGATATAAGGGACCAGTTAGTAAGTGCAACAATCTTCGAAAGCGGCAACTTCAATCCCAAGGCTGCAGCAAAATTGGCATCCGGGGATAGGGACACAGTGAACGAAATCAATCATTGTGGTGCAAGACAGTTTAATCAAAGAGGTACTATACGTGACAAATCATACTCATATCCACACAATCAATTTCGTCGGCATTGAATAGTCACTGAGGCAGCAAATACTCTGCATTAG